GGGAGGCTGAAGTCTGAGATCAAGATGCCGGCAGGGTTGGTTCGTTCCGAGGCCACGAGGGAGGGTCTGTTCCTAGAGTTTGGTGTTTGCTGGCCATCTTTGGTGTTCCTTGGCTTGCTGATGCGTCACCCTCATGTCTGCACGCATGTTCACATGGCATTCCCCTGGTGTGTATGCCTGTATCCTAATTTCCCCATTTTCATAAGGACACCAGTCATATTGGGTTAGGACCACCCTCGTCCTGTACGACTTCACCTTAACTCATGACATCTGCGACGACCCTATTTTCCAAATAAGGCCACATTCGGAGGTCCTGGGGGTTTCGGACTTCAACATATACATTTGTCCCATAGCAGCCATGCTGCCACATCTTAAGCACTCAGTGGTGACATGTGGCTCCTGGGAACTGTTCTGGACACTGTCGAGGCAGAATGTTTTCATCATCATGGAAAGTTCTGTTGGACATGGCCGGAAAGAGTTTCCAGCCTGTGTGTGGGTGCACAATCAGCTGGAGTAATTTTTACATTTCCCTGATGCTTGTTCTGGGTGTGTTTATCTGGGGCAGCAGTAGGCAGTGTGGGGTGAGTGGAGCTCACCCCCAAAACTCTCAGCCTGTGTTCTGGGCCCGTGTTGAGCTGGCTTAGCTGCCTCATCTGCCCTGCCTACCCTTTGGGTCTCAGCTTTAGCATCACCTCCTCCAGGAAGTCTCTTCTGATTCTCCCGCCCCTCCCTAGGCCTCCTCTGGACTCCCACAGCTGCTTGTGAGTCCCATTGTAGCGCCAATCGCCCCTGGTCACCCATCTACCTCTTCCCCTGGACTGCAAGCTGTGGCAATGGAGATCTTGGTAGTGTCTGCGTCACTGCTGTGTCCCCGGGACCTGGCCCAGGGCCCAGAACACAGCAGATACTCGGTGACCGGGAGCTTTGGGAGCACTGGACTCAGCAGCACGCCTTCTGCTGAGCCTCGGGAACCTCTTCCCCTCCTCCTTTCCTACCCCAGCCCTCTCTCTAACGGTAGCAGAATCGTCCCCAAGAATCCTTGTCTTCTGCTTGTTAGATGGCTCAGGTGTCTGCAACCCATTGTCATTCTCCAGCTCTGCTGAACACCCTGGGCCTCAGCTTCTTCTTCTGTCAAGTGAGGACACTGATAGCCTCTGCCATCCTGGGATGTTGCTAACTTGAAACATAAAGAGACCCTGGAACTATTACGTGTATGCTTTTAAATGAATAATAATAACAACGCCTTATCTATCACTCGGTGCCTCATGTTGTGTAATCACCTTTGTTTAAACTCATGTAACCCTCACAAAACCTCTCCATTAACTCCATTTATAGATGAGAAACTGAGACCCAGAGAGGTCAGGTAACTGATTCAAGGTCACACAGCTGGGAAGCAGTAGAGCTGGGATTCAAAACCAGGCAGGTGGCTTTTTGATTCCTGCATGTTACTGCCTCTTGAATGAATGAATGAATACCAATTCCTTTCCTCCTCGGAAAACTCAAAATTTCATTTCATTCTTTGAAGGAGGACTAGTTGAACCTCCATATTTTAGACAGAAAAACAGAGGCCCAGGAGAGCAGGCAGCATGGGCAGCTCTAGGCAGCCATGTTTTTTTTACTTTTTTTTTTTGGTTTTGTTAATCCTCACCTGATAATTTTTTTCCATTGATTTTTAGAGAGAGTGGAAGAGTGGGGGGAAAACAGAAACATCTGTGCTAGAGAGACACATTGATTTGTTCCCTCCCACACCCCGACTGGGTGGGGATTGAGCCTGCAACTAACCTGAATCAAACCCAAGAACCCTCAGTCGCAGGCTGATGCTCCAATCACTGAGCCAAACCAACTAAGGCAGTATTTTACACACATTTTAAAAAACCAATTCTAGGCATTGAAGCATGCTACAACTAAAAACGAGTGCCTAATTCTATCTGCTTTAGCAAGACATTTTTGGGTTATAATCCCTTAACTAGTATATAAAATTATTAAACAGAATACAATATTTTCAAGCAAAAATGTAAAGCAAATTCTAATAAATAAGCTCATCCTCACTTTCAAATCTTGTGAGGGCTCATCTTTTTTATTTTTTTAAGACAGAGTGCAAGGGATGGGGGGAGGGGGAGAGAGAGAGAGAGAGAGAGAGAGATTGGTTGCCTCCTGCACATGCCCCAACCAGGGAATAGATCTGCAACTGAGGTATGTGCCCTCTTCAGTCTACAAACCGAAGCTCTATCCACTGAGCCAATCAGCTAGGGCAGGCTCATTTTATGTTCAAACACTCTGCTGTTTGTTTCTTTCAGGAGTCTACAAACTTTTTATTGAAGAGCCAGATAGCAAATATTGTAGGCTTCTCGAACTAAGGGGCAAAATTGGAGACTTATATAACCATTCTAAATGGAATTACGTAAAAATGTAAAAAACATTCTTAGCTCACAAGCGGCTGGCCAAATTTGGCTCATGAGCTAGTTTGCTGATAGCTGGTCTACTTGCTACATTCCCTCCCTTTCTTGCATCATCTGCAAGTATGATGTAATGGCTTTTTCTCAAAAAAGAAGTGATATTTTCCCTTTCTAATGTCAGACTGTCATAACTCATTAGTTACTTGCACTGTGACAAAAATACACCTACACAGTTGTTTATGCAGAATATTTTATTTATGTATTTGATATCTGTACAGATGTCTGTCCTTATCTCTATATTTGTCTCTGTGTTCTTACTGACCAGCATTAATTCCTCAGGGATAAGACCTGTATCTGTTTAGCTTTGTACCCTCTTAGCAGAGCATAAGCATCAAATGGACATCTGACACATTTCAATAATAAAACAGAAAACAATCAAACATAAGTCAACAAGAGATAAGAAAAAAGCATGTGGAAACACATACAAAAATTCTTATTTTAGAATTAAACTATCCATAATTTGTAAAATCTACGTCTTTAAGTTTATACATGAGATTATATCCATTTTCCTACTTAAAGAAAAAGTAGGAAAATTGCAACAAATCATAAAAATAAAAATGCAAAGTCAAGGTAACAAATATTTTTGGCTCTCGAACTAAAAAAAGAATCATCAGTGAGGAAAAACGAGAAGTGAAGAGAAATTATATAGATCATACCACTGATGTTCTCTTCATGTTAAAAAAAAAGGCTTTTTAATCTTATTTGGATTGATTGGAAATAAGC